CTTTGCTTAACAGAAGTTGGGGAGATATTAGTGTGACAGTTTATTATTATAAATAATTTTTGTGTCAGTATAACCACAGTAGTATCTCAATACCACCAGCTGATAATAATCTTTATAAATTCTACTTTGCAGCTATACCATCTGTTAGTTATTATTTTGTATGCGTCTCCATATGCATATGTGAATTAGCTGTCACTCAAGACAAATACACAAATGGAATTGTGGTTTTGTGAGGAGTTTTTTTATTACCTTTTCTTATATTTTGTTATCTCTAAACCAGTGAACTAAATAAATAAGCATATTCCTCAGTTTTGGAGACCAAAAATAAATGTAAACTGAAAAATAATTCTTGTAGTAAACTTAAAAATTTAAGTTCAGCCAACAAATCTAAAAGTAGCTTGTAAAAACTAGATTAAAATTAATAGTCATCAAATAGGATATAAGTATATTAAAACTGCAATATACATATTCACAGCTCTCAAAATACACCTACAAAACCAAAAAGGAACAGGTAAATTAGTAGCCAATATGGTTCCAGTTTTCATAATATAAAACACTTTTCCACAATTGAAGAGTAGGAAGAATGACTAATTATTTGCTTACTTGTAATGTTTATTCCCTGAAGAGATGAGTCATAATGGCAAAAACTCAAAACTGGGCCCCCGATGAATCTGTGGGTTTATCCCCCCAAGCTATTTAAGTAACAGGCTGCAAGACAGTAAGTAGTTGTAAGATCATTACAACTCACTAGCAAAATTTACCCAGAAAAGGCAAGAGAAAGAGGAATAGAAGGTGGATAAGCCTCTAACTGGATAATTAGTCCAAATACTGCAATCTCCAAGTACTAGAGTCTAATGACCTTAATTTTAATAATGCAAACATGGGTTTATAGGAGCTTATACGGTACACACCAAAAACAATGGTGAATTCTATTAAAATTTAGAGTGGCTTTGAAAACACAGACTAAAGCACAACTTGAGAGAACCCACATTTACTGACTAGATAGTTCAATGTTTCCTTAAGTTATCCTATTTTTGGTGATGCCACTTTGGGATCATATGTAGGGAATGCTAAGGTAGAAACAGTAGTAACTAATTAAAGTCATCCTTGAGAGAAACCCTAAAATATTTAGGGAGGGGCAGTGAAAAAGAGTCAAATAAATTGAGAAATTGTGATTTTCTGGAACGAATACTGTATTTTTTCAGTTTTATTACATAAAAAGTTGAACTAACTACTTAGTACAAATAAATATGCGCTTTTCATAGTCTTTTGTGTAAATATATTAAAATATGTCATAATCCAACTCTGCAAAAAATAGTTTATTCTTTGTCCAAACCAGATCTCCTTTTTTCAAATTTCATTCCATCTAAATGCTAGAATTTCCATGATGTCAGTGAGGGAACTGTACTTGGAGAGGGAACACAGTTTTGAAGTATATTTGGGCTATAAAGTATAAGGAAAACTATCACAGACTACTTAACAAAATATTTTAATTGTCATTAATACTACAATGCAGCGCAGGCTAGGCTATATTCATTTTTTAACCCTTTATTATCTATCATTGAGATTCATATGTGGAAACCAGTTTCATACCATGATTTGCTTCTGTTTCTAAAATGTTCTTAATGAAGGATTTCATTTCATAAAAATTTACCTTTATCATATAAAAATTGTATCAATAGTAAGAAAAAATTTTTCATGGTTCAAAGCTCACCTAATGTATGAAGCCTTTCTTGACTCTCCCTAATGATATTTAAGCTTCACTGAAATCTCACTGAATTTAGGGAGTTTAAGGAACTTACTTATTTCACTGTATATTACAGTGACTTGTGGAGTTTTTCAATTTACTATTCATAGATGGAGATTTCTGCTTCTACACATAAGAATCATGGCATCTTATAAATTTTTATCTTTTCTATCCCACATCCAACAACTCCTTGAAAACAGTAGGCAATCTACATGTTTATCTGAATTCACCAAAAACCTATTTTGGTAACAAAGTAAACTATTTTTATGAACCCATCCTAATTTACCAAATATGTTCTCATTACAAATACTATTTCAACACTTCTTCTTTAGTCATTAAAAATTTAAATAATTGACAATCCTGCTAGTTATAATACATACAGCTTCTTAATCAGATGTGTATCTTTTTAAAAACTAAATGAAATCATTATACTTCTCCTTACTGATGTAGCAAGAGTGCCAAAAATAGTGTAAATTAACAGGCTTTTTTATTGGTAACTCCTAAGAAATATAAGAAAAAACTTTTTTTTAACCTGAGTAAAGATAATGTGTTTATAATATAAAGTGGAAAATAGAATTTAATGAAATATTTACTCATAAGATAGCATTTGCAGAAGACCACTAATTTATTAACTTAGATCCAGAAATCATCGACAGTGCATCTCTGTCACACCACATGTGTCTGACAATATTTGAATGGCTGAGGCTGTCAAGCTAACTAAAGTGTCCCCTCTGCCTTCCAGGAACTCACACTATAGTGAAGTCAGAAAGACAATACAAATAGTAAGAGGACATTGATGTTCTCTCTGGCTGGGAGAACAGGGAAAAGTTCACAAAGGAGGTGACATTTGAACAGGGGTTTGGTTTTAAGCTTTATTCTGCAGGTTCAAGAAATTTGTGGGGGCTGAAGTAAGAAAATCTGCTCTTCTTTTTCAGGAAGTAATTTGAGAAAGAAGCTGCTCATCTAATAATGGTCCAGTGAACAGATGAGGACCTAGCTCGACTAGAGGAAACCAAATTGGAAGATATTTTTGATGTAGAATCAATAGGACTTTATGACAGATTTGAGAGAGCGGGGTTGAGAAGAATGGGTCAAAAGACTTTAGGCCTTTACCTTGGCATACAGGTGATGACAATAAATGAAATCTAGATTATCAGTTAACAGGTATTTATTGAGCTCCTTCTATATACCAGACACTATGCTGGGCCCACAAAGTCTGTTTTCCTTCTAGTTAGTGGTGTGGCAGACAACAAACAAACGAACAATCTGAGATATGATAAACTTGATGGAGAAAATAAAACAGGGTTATGTGAAAGTGACTGGCCAGGAATCAACAGTTCTTCTTTGGTCAAGCAAAGGCTGAAGTGTCTAGAAAATCATAAGTAAAATGGCACATAGGCAGGTGGATGTAGTCTAGAGCTCAGGGTTGAGGTCTAGGTGGAGACAGGCTTTGGAAGGCATTAGCCTCTTCATAGAACTGAAAACCATGAGATTGGCTAAGATTCATCTTGACTGATGAAGGTAAGTCCAGTATGAGAGAGTGGGGAACATGCAGCAATGTTTTCCTCGTGGGCGGATTTTTAAAGAGGGCCACAGTAAATTCCATTTTAGACACTTAAGGTTGGGGTAAATGACTGTTTGGTTTTCGGTGGTGAATCATATCTAGCCTCTGAAATTATTTTACTTTTATCCTCTCGAACTGTGACTTAATGCTGCAGTCTCATTTGTAGACTCCCTGTTTTTTTTGCTCCATCACTAAGCTCTCTGAGAGCAAACACTGTCCTCCCAGTGCTCAGCAACTATTCAGCCAGAAGGGCTTTTGTCTGTTGCAGCATGAGTACATAAATCCAGTACTGAGGCCTAAGAGTTGGTTGTACAATGGAGAGACTAGAAAGTAGCACAATAATGAGCTAGTTTAAAATCTTGCAGGATATATTCTCAAAAGCTTCTTTCCTTAAGAATTAACATCGGAATTCCTTCTGTCTGAATCAATTTTGAAAAAAACTGAGTTCCAAGATATCTCCACTGGATCACATAACTCAGAAATTAAACTCAAGTAATCATGGATGGTTTCCAAACCTTCCTGGTGGTTCTTTCCCAAACCTCAAATACATCAACCTTTATTTCCTATCAAAGGTGCTACTTAGGGTCAGCATTCATGAAGTGTTTGAATGAATGAGAGATACCAAGTTGCTTCAGCATGTGGGCTGGACATTTTTCTTTTCCTTGTTATCTTTTCTCCCCCTGTATTTTCAGCTCTCTGCACAGTGCCTTAAATATGGTTAGCACTGAATAAATATTTGTTGCATGCTGGAATGAAAAAAACAAATACACAGTTTTATGGGAAAGATGACTTTACATCAACTTACTTCCCATATCACTTCTTTAAATATGTTCTTTTCTTGATTATAAATATTTGCTCACTGTGGAAAATTTAAATATAAAAAGCACCTCTCCTTAAATATTACTCTTTACATATACCTCATGATTACATTCATGCATTCATTTAACACATTTTTTTGACTGCCTATTCTGTGGTAGGCTTTGGGGATACAGGGGTGAACCAAACAGGCCAGGTCCTGACCACCTCAAGTTGTATGCAACAATGAGGAGGGGTGCCCCCAGGCAGAAAGTTTCAAAATTAATGGATATCTCTTCCACCCTAAAAATTAACATTCCTTCTAGGACTTAAAAATGATTACTTCAGTGATTAAATAATGTTAACATGTTTCTACATAGTAGCTAAAAGTATCCAAGCTTCCACCTTCAAGTACCCACAAGAAACCAATAATTTTCTCCTGTGGAAAAGAACAAATACCCTAGACTTTCTATCAAACAATGTGGAGGAGCACACTTTGATGCTGGAAATGGTAATATAATAAATACAGTCTGAAAAGGTATTTTCAAACCTTTCTCTATAGGTTTATAGAGGCTCATATATTACCTATTTCTTCAAGTGTATTAGAAAATAATCATTCCATTAAAAGTAGTTCAAATGTTTTAACTAAAGTGCTCTATGCCTCTTTTGGCTCTTTTGGCAACATGAACTTTTCATTTCCAGCACTGGGAAAAGCTCAGCACTTGGAAGGTCACCCCTGTACTGCCTTCCCCTCACTTTCAGCAGATCACTTGTTCTCAGGTACCTAGGCAGTGTCTGCATAGCAAGATTAGTTACCATTTATCCTCAGAGGAATATATAGTGATAGTAATGCATCCAGTTTCATCCCAGAAGAACTCATTGATTTTCACTTACCTCCAAAGGCTGGTTACTGTCTCCTTCTGAAGTTTTACCTCTTGCTGCTATCCTCTCCTCAGGTGCTGTATCCCCTATGAAGCAAAAGAAAAAGAACCCAATTCACTGTACCACTGAAGTCAAACTGTCTTCTATTTATTTGAAAAATCTTTTGTTTTATATGTTTAACATTATGGAAGCAACTACTATTTCCTTAGTTACAAAGTAAAAAAGTTAATTTGTAAGAACAAATATTATAGAGATCTCATAAATCACCTATAAATATATACAATCTAAGCCAGAAATGTATCTGGCTTTACATAGGTTTACTTTAGAAAAATCAAGTGAGTTCATATTTTGTAAATCAAGTCAGACTTCAAATAAACTAGGAAAGCTTTTGACTTAAGGAAGATAAGGCAATTTATTTTCAAATTAAGTCTTAATTTTCAAGTTAAAATTACTTTCAGATTATAAGGTTTATTCTTTATAAGTGTGCATTTGTGTCTGTGCTTTGGCTCAGAGTAGATATACATGCTTGTATGTAATAATTAGCCAAATGTCAAACAATCTTTACAGCAGGAAAGAACAACAAACAAAAGCATAAATTAGCTTTCAGTTAATACACTGATTCCTAAGGCTGGTACCTGGGTGGGTTATATTACTACATGAAGTTGGTGCCGAAGCTGGCTCCAACAGACACAAATATAGTTAGGTAAGTATAGGTATAATTAAATTTATTAATGACTATTTTAATTTATTAACTATCACTGATGATCTGTGGTTAACACACGGTAAGCAGAGAAACAATTAGACTACTTTTTAAAAGCATAATAAGGTTACTTTTGTAATTGTAAACTGCTCTTCCCATAAAATTAAGCCAGCTCAGGACTGCCCATTACAGGAAAGATTACAAAATTCATAGATGATGACTTGGCTGACATTAAAGGTTAGGAATCTGTTAATTCAAGGAAGGTCACATATCTTGATTGGAGATAGCAAAGTATGAAAGTCTTGGATGAGCTTTACTTTTCCATATGAAACACAAAACTTTAGTTTACCAAAGGCTGTATTCAAGGAAGAACTTCATGAAAATTTTCAGGGGTTAAATAAAATTCTGTTAAATTCTAAAATCATGAAGCAAGAATTAAACTAGTAGTTTATTAAGATAATGTAACTCCTCAGAATGTTTAAAATTCAAGTACATCAATGCATATTCCAGCCTATAGGCTTTGTTCTTAGCTATATGCAACATTATTATTATTCAGCAACACCCAGCACATAATGTTCAATAAATATTCACTGAATAAATTGGTGAACTTCTCTTTATAGTTTCCAGTCTATAAAACTGTAGCAAAATAATACTATATATTGTATCATAAAAGCTGTATTTGAACACACAATTAGTGTCTTTCTTCTAAAACATACTTATGAAACTTCAAAGGCAAATTTATTAAATATCATGGTGATATATTGTTACTAGTAATTCACAACTGTGACATAATTGATCAGATCTTAAGTCCAGTTAATGATTTTGAGAAATCATGCTGAAACAAAAGCATTTGAAACTTTTGGGTCATGCCTATAGGTTAATAAAGTTAATAGTTGTTAAGTGAAAAATTACATCAACCTACTTTTGTGTGACCAAGGCTGTCAAACTATTTTGACTGATTTTTTAAAAATTTGAACTGATAATTTATTTGTATATCAAGAAGAGTCTTACTTTCAGAAATCCCCCTTTCTGAAAGTTAGGGATAATCCCCAGTTTATAGGTGGCAAAACCAACGGACACGGAGTTTTGTTTGGTTAAAGTTATGAGACCACAGCAGCGTAAGCAGCCCAAGTAATGCGAGGCTCTGTACGCTCAGGTCAAATTGTGTTTAATACTCACATGCCTGATGTTTGTAAGAAAAATATCCCCATGTGAAAGGATGTTTACTCAAGAAAGATTTTTTTTTTACATTTTAAAATGATTATTGCTCTATCTCATAGCCATACACACACTGCATTTGGCTAAAATCATTCAGTATAAAGTCTATGCTTCCTATGCCGTTTTCCTGATTTCAAGAGTTACATCTGTACAAAACTGTCTCCATTTCTCCCTACTGATTGATAACCAGAAAGGTTATGTGCCACACACATTGGCCTGCAGGCAATTGTAGAATCACTGTTTACTGAAATGGCATGTCTGGTGATGACTCATATAGGATAATAACTGATTATAAGGAAAAATGCCATCTGCAAGATTATTCTTTATAAACAAAGGCACAAAATGAAAACTATACAAACAACAAACAAAAAAGGACAGGTCACAGTGAAATACGATTTTTGAAGTTTCTTTTCCCTCCCACTGAAGAATTATTTTATCAAGGTAAAAATTCAATTATTTTCTCTAAATTTTATAACCCACTTGAAAGTTAGATACTTTATAAAGATGCAACAAATGCAAAATTAAGGTACTCTATAGTTTTCAAACATGAGGTAACTCTATGTGCCAGATAGATAAAAAAATTTCATTTGCAAGTCAGCTTTAAAACAATCAAACAAAAATGACCAACATTTTCCCAGTGCTTTACATTTTATAAAGTCTTTTTTATAATACCACATTTGATCCTCACTCTGGCACAGTAAGAGATCCTCCCCATCCCTCTACCCCTTTCATGGTGAGTGAACCCCCTGGGGCCCCAGTCTTCCAGGGAGAAGGTGGTCCCAGTGGGTGCAGAGCCCAGTCTCCTGACATCTCTGGGGAGTCTGTGTGGTCTGGTGCAAGGTTCCAGTGGGCAGCAGCTGAGATGGGAGAAATCAAGTCTCTGAGATAAGGAACAGCAAAGAGAAGAGCCCGGAACTCGGAAAGGGAGCTCGGAAGGCAGGATCTCATGCTGGTCCAGCCCCGGGGACCCTAGGCTCCTCTGGCTCCTCCGGGATAGACCCATGGCTTATCTGCTCCCTTCCCTTTCCACTGATGATGCCAAGTACTTCTGACCAATGCAGGCCTCGGCTCTTCCTTCCAGTCTTTCAATGCAAACACACAGTCCCCTTGATAGTTTTCCAGAAATTTCTATGGCTAGAAACAATTTTATAATAGGCAAAATCTCTCTTATATGAGGGCCATGAAATTTTCTTAGTTTAAAATGTAGTTTTTGTTTCGAGTGAATAAATGATAAAGGCTACATATAAATACCAAAGAAGCTCTTGCAGAATTTAAAGGACTGAAGTGTTCATCTGTATTTTAGGTTAGGGGGTTAGCAATTTTTAAACACTTTAGGTTTTGTGGGCCATACTGTCTTTGTCACAACTTCTTAACTCTACCATTGTAGCCTAGAGCAGCCACAGTGAGTGTGGCTGTGTTCCAATAAAATTTTATTTACAAAGATAGGTGTCAGGCTGTTGTTTCCTGATCTCTGTATTAGGGAATGTATATGTACTACACCTTTTCTAGGATAAAAAGCTGAATTATGTTTGAGTTATGTAAGATGATTAAAGAGATGGTCATTAGGATATCATCACGATCCCATTCTACTGAGTGGATTGGGTTGAAAGAGAAGAGAAATGGTGGTGAAGAGTGAGTACTAGATAGGAGGGAAGGTAGAAAGGAGAGAAATCCCCAGCGATGGGAGGGGAACCGGATACCAATTTGGGTCACCCCAGAGATCTGTCTGGTGGCCAGCAGAACTCTCGGTGAGTGGGTGAGGGAGGGCCCCCATCCCTGGGCCTCCTCCAGTGTGGAGGAAGCTCTAGTGACATTCACCCCGGCCTCCCTCCTCTCTCCAGTCTGTGGGTTGGTGATTTGGGAGGACTTTGCTGCCGTGGTTCTGCCTTTCTCCTCCCTTCTGTTGAGAATAGGAGGACCAAAGAGGGCACATTGCTGGGTGGGCTGTGGGCCTCCCCAGGGACCTCCTCCCGGCTGGGAAAGCCTGCCCCAGCCCAGCATGCCCTGTAACTGCAGGAGGCTCAACCTAATTCTGGGGTTCAGTCTAGGAAATCCATGTGCTCCTTGATAGAAGCCACATTCTTCAGCACCAGCTTTTTAAGTAATACAGATAAGAATTTGGTCTCTGTTTTGTTTTGCATTGTTTTTTCCCTAAACTGACCAGATCTTATCCTGGGAAGAGGGGTGTTATTATAGGAACGCCCTAAAGCCCAACAGGACTGGGAATGGGCTGGTGGGCAAAGTTGAAACCTGCCTGCCAGTGAAAAGCTATGAATACAGCTTTTTTTTTCTTTTCTTTAATTAAAGAAGAATTATCTAGAACTCCGTATCTGAGAACACAGTCTAACAAACACTATTTTCAAGGGGTTTACATGGAAAAAATGTTTTTGTGGCCAAAAGTATGAGAAAAACCTACAGAATGTATTCCCTTCTAGTACATTTTAACACATAAACGCTCTGAAAAATTCTTCGGTGAAGAAATTATATTTCTTTTTCACAATGTATTTGACCTGTAGAGCCATCTTATTCACCTGATATCTATTAAACATCTTGCAGAGGTCTATGAACATGTTATGGGAAATGCAAATATAACATTTCTGAGGTTAAAATTATGAAATGCATTATTTTTACTTGACTCCTCAGAAGACCTTACAACATTGCCAAATTTGTTATTAAGCTTTTGAACACTCATTTTACACGATGCTAACCCACACTTATCTTTCTGTAGTTGATTATTTTCATAACTCCCTGTTCATTCATTCATTGCATTTGGGGCAGACCAGTAGTATGTGACTGCATTCTACCACAGAATTCTGAATCCAGAATAGTTGATAATCTACAGAGCAGAAAAGGCTAGCCAAGCACCTTGAAGACACAGGAGAAAGCCCAGTGCTCAGAAACATCTCCCCCACAAATTCCTCTAATTAGAGATTCATTAGGATTAATGAGCTCCTCTTTTAAAATGCAAATACCCTCTGGGAGTGTTTCCTTATTAGTCATTCACCAAGTGAAGTAGTGGAAAGAACAGTGGAATGGCCACTCCATTAACTCCTTTTCATTCTTCAGACACACACTCATTATACAAGGGCAGCCTGACACTGTGGTAAAAGAATGGCTTTGGAATCTGACAGAACTCGACCCAAAACCTTTACTAAATCCAAGACCCTG